CGCGAGAAGTAGACCAATTGCTGCTTCTGATTACGCAACATCATCTTCGGGTGAAAGCTAATGTACATATATATTGTATACATCGAGAGTCGCTGGGACTGTTTACTTAATACGCAACGCGAGAATGACAGAGGAAAGGAGGATAGTTCGTTGACCTGCACCAAAACACGTGTTATGGCCATATTAAATCAATTTCTCGCATATATTGAGAGGCAAACCAGTTTCGATGAATTGCGCTGAATAAATTACGAATGGTCGTGTAAAAATAATGAGTTAATGAGTCGAATGAAAAGAGGTAGTATACAAATATAGACGCAGGCAGCACAAAAGCTAGCCAAAAGCGTGTTTACTCGAGTCCGAAAAATCGGGCAGAAAAATAAATACCATCTATCTGTTTTTGCACTCGCTCGTTGGCTCTGTGTCCAAGAAGATCGACAACGCCCTGTACACGCGCGACGTTCCGAAGATGCTGCCGAACTTTTGCTGCTGCTTTGCTAAGCTTGAAGAGCCGCACAGCACAGAAAAAGGCAATAAACGTTTGAAAAAAAGTTCGAAATGAGTTCATGCGTAAAAACAAATAACGCGCGCGCGTGCGAGGCAAAGAGAAAAAAGTCTACGTACATGTGACGCGACGGTGTCCGCCGGCGCCGTGTATTTTTATATATATAAAATGTACGAGTGCTGGCTTTGCTGCTCCATGCTCCAAGTTGAAGGACTAGACGATGACAAGTCGCCAGCGTGGGTGTATACAAGGTGCCATGCACACGATTTCTAATGTCACGTATCTTTGAACTCGTCAATTTTGCAAATCGACCGAAAAAATTTTTGTGCCTCACTTTATTCCTAATGATTTACTCCTTGCTTTTTTATTCAAGAAATCTCATTTTTTTTCTCTCACTTACAGTTTGATTTATGTAATTTTCTGATACAATGCAAACAGCTGATATAACTTTGTAAGAGCTTACAAAGGCTGTCAATGTCATTTATGGGTCTCGATATAAAGCAACATTACGCATAATTGACATCAATCAAAATCTATTTTAAGATGCATTGGCATTTTTATTTCTACGTTACAGTGCTTCACAGTTATTTGGAGAGTTAATTACCGCACGAAGCGAAACCTTAAATCGATGTAAATTGATCGGTAAAAAAATGAAGACGTTAAGAGGACATTTTTACAACTTTATCTCTCGAAGAACAAGACTCCGGTCTGACGTTTAACGATATATTTTCGCCCGCCTGCACACGAGCGTATTCAAATTTTATATCTTTTATATGCGCCGTTTTATGCGGCCCGTAATGCTTGTCATGTAGCGCGCGCAGATAAACACGACGACAGGCTCGCTGCAGTCTAGAAATCTTTTGCGTGTCTCGTGCGCCTTAACATTGCTCTGCGAGCTCTAAAGAATGATTTTATGGCTAGATCTAAAAAAGGCCACTATGCACTATGAGGCCCATAAATATTTGTTTATACGCGCGACACGACAAGACGGTTACGTGCAAGCTCTTGGCGCGCGTTCGGACCATTTCTTTGTTGACACAAAGGAATTCGTTCGCGGAAGCGCCGCGAGAGCTTACTAGTCCTTTCATCGAACCTGCCATTGATGTCTGTATTGGATTGTGTTTTATATCCATACAAGTGCACAACATGCATGATTTTCAAAGTGCTTGATATTTTTCCCATATGATAAACGTGTAGTCGCCGTAGTAGAAACAATCGGCGGAAAGAATCAATTTTCGCCTATGACTCTAACGCACGCGTGCGTATGATGTATAGTCTCACTTGAATTCAAAGCGAAAAATGATAGTGAAAAAGTGTATCCAGATGATAAATCGAACTCTCGCGCACAGCAGCAGCAGCAGCAGCCACATCGGCTCTTTTGCGAAACGTACTTGATGCGCTCGCGTTGCATCAAAAGGCTCAAGAGTAGCCTAGAGTACGCAGTTTCTTTATAAAAATAAAAGCACTCGCACATGTACGCTACGCGGGCGCGAGCGAACGTATCTCAGCAAAGCATAAAAACATCGGTCAAAGCTAAAGCCTGCGGTGCTTCGGTCTCGCGCGTCTGCAAGCCTGTCGATCTCTCTTGTGCGTGCGGAATTTTCATCTCAGTTGCATTTATGATGCACGTGTGATTGCGCGTGAGTGCACCCCTTTGCCTTCTTTCTTGCCGTATCTATACCCTAACTTTCATGAATGATGTGTATTTATGGTTCAGTGGTTTAAAATATTTCCAATCGCAAAAAGGCTGAGCGCACGTCTCGCAGCGACTATACGAGTTCGCCGGAACGATTGTTTCAGCGACCGATCGCTTTTAAACTTGGCTTCCGATGAAATTTCAGGAACACTCAGCTAATAGGCATCTATAAATTTCTTTTACGTTCGTAAAGGATGAAATTGCAATCTTATTCGAGCGTATGAGTCTTCGAGTGTTTAATGAAAAATATTACTACAAAATGATCGACGCACAACTTTCAGCTAAATATTTCAAAAAGAGACTTAATGTATATCGGCTTGATTTTTATTTCGTTGACTTTGATCGTATTGAATAATTTTCACTGATTGCGTATAAAATTAAGCGTTACATCGCCATGAGTCAACTCGATAGGAGCGAAAGAGATGATATAATTTGAAAGTAAATAACTAAGATACGTATATTTCATTGGTTGAGATGGTGAGTAGCCAGGCAGCATGGACCATAATCGTTGTTGCATAATTAATCGCATTAGTAACATTCTGATGTTATATGGGGCAAATTTCCTGAACTGTCCTAGCGCTCTGCCGCACGGCATTTTTTGGCCGAATCACTCAATTTCTAACTCGCTGTAAAAGTATCAAAACACCCCTCAAAAAAATAACTAACTAATGATTTCGATAGGAAATTTCCTCAGCTTTCCGATGGTGAGGTCCAATTTCCTGGAATTTTCCATTTTCACCCGGAAAATTGTCATTAAACATTCAGAGCTCAATATCTCGAAAAACGCCACTTTTTTTGCTTTTTTTATTGTTTCAATCGAAAGATGAGGTCTTTTTACATCGGATATGGTAGTTTACAGAGTGTATTTTTGATGAAAACTAAGGAAAATACGAGAGGTTTTAGTTAGCGCTCAGCCGCTCGGCGCGATTTTCAGCCTTGCGCGGCTCGCTATAACTTGTAACTCGCTCTTATGACATAGTGATTTGGCTGGAAAAATAAATAAACATAGGTTGTCGATAGGAAATTTTCTCAGCTTTCTCATGGTGTAGTCAGATTTTCCGATAATTTACATTTTCATTAGAAAAAGTAGAAAATAAACCTTTAAGTCCATTTTTTCTGGTGAAAATGTAAATTATCGGAAAATCCAACTGCACCATGAGAAAGCTGAGAAAATTTCCTATCGACAACCTATGTTTATTTATTTTTCCAGCCAAATCACTATGTCATAAGAGCGAGTTACAAGTTATAGCGAGCCGCGCAAGGCTGAAAATCGCGCCGAGCGGCCGAGCGCTAACTAAAACCTCTCGTATTTTCCTTAGTTTTCATCAAAAATACACTCTGAAAACTACCATATCCGATGTAAAAAGACCTCATCTTTCGATTGAAACAATAAAAAAAGCAAAAAAGTGGCGTTTTTCGAGATATTGAGATCTGAATGTTTAATGACAATTTTCCGGGTGAAAATGGAAAATTCCAGGAAATTGGACCTCACCATCGGAAAGCTGAGGAAATTTCCTATCGAAATCATTAGTTAGTTATTTTTTTGAGGGGCGTTTTGATACTTTTACAGCGAGTTAGAAATTGAGTGATTCGGCCAAAAAATGCCGTGCGGCAGAGCGCTAGGACACTTCAGGAAATTTGCCCCATATATGGGCTTCTTTCACCTCCTCTCGTCGGTATACACAGACTGCATATAGAGACTGTGGCTTTTGAGTGGCCCGGAAATCTCGGCGCACGGCTGCTCCCAATCATAGCGCGTTGATCTAAGCAAATTCCGACTGTACACACAAGAGCGCTCGCTACGATTCGCCGCTCGTACGCATACACATGCGGACCTTTTGCACGCATCCGTGTACCCTTGACACACAGACTGTACACAGAGGCGCGCGCACTACACTACGACGCTCCCGTCGAATTATCCAAATAATTAGGCTCGAGCTCTGCACGGACGAATTTCGGTGCGCGAATGTGCCTACTCTATATATATGTGAACGAGGGCTCGATGCTACATTAGCCGCGTGCGTGTGCTGGCTGGCTGACTCTCTCGCTCACTTCGGCACGTCTGTGTGTACCTTCTAACCGGTTTACGCACAAGCACGTACTCTGTTATATCTAACTTACAGTCGAATAGTGGCTTTTTAGCTCGTCATATTTGAGAGTACTGTAGGCAGGATTAATTTTCGATAAGACTACCTAGCGCTTCGATCGTAATATAACTTTATAATAAAATTCAGTCAAAATATAGTGAAAAAAAAAAACAATAGACCGGATTAAAACTTGACAGGACAAAAGAATACCCGATTCAAAATTGAGCGGAAATTATATTTTTAGACGTTCAGCTTGATTTATATATACGCAAATGGGCGATAACGGCACCCTGCCAAACTATAATATACGTATATTTATGACGGCTGCTCGGTGGATATTGAAAAATTTCGGCCCGGCTCTTATTAAATATTGACCGTAGTAAAAAATCAAGCATCAAATTGCCGAAGATCGAATAACATCAAATGCGTATATAATATTAAATTCCATTTTTCCAATTTTTTGCTCACACTTCGCTAGTCGAAATTGAAAAAATTGAATCGGTTGGTTTGTTTCCAATTATAATTCCATCGTTTTATTTGAGAAAGTGAAAGAGATTATTGAAGCTACTGGACAAGTTTCTCGATTACATACGGTAGCTAATTAGCTAACTTTTATTCAAATAGAATTTGAAATAATACGTAATTGATTTGCTGTTTTCTCTCCTCCGTCAATTTAAACCCGTATTGAGATGAATTCTCAAACAAAAGGACTTACCTAGGACTCGGCAAAATTCGCCCTGCAGAGACGTGCCGCCGAGCTGGATGATTGCCATGGCGATGTCACCGAGCATGAGGCAGGCGACATGGTAAGTCTGGCATCTCCAGTGCAGCATGTGATGCGAAGCAGGCAGTAGCCAGCTCGTGGCCAGAGTCGCCGCAAGGAACACGGCGCTAACGATGAAGCCCACCGGGTACAGCGTAAAGCGAATGTCTCGAACGGGGACTCCTGATCTGCGAGTGACACACAGAGAGAAATTCATTAGCTATATAGACATTTTTATTGTCATAATAATGTAAATGAGTATTTTAACGTATGTTGTGACTTGTATTTATGCTCTTCAAACTTATATCTGATCGATCGTAATTTTTAGCTTTCTATTTTATGGTTGAGTAAATTTAAAAAAAAAATTGAATGATAACCGGACATGAAATTTGTCGGTCCTTTCGCATAAAAGAGTAATGCTACATAAACGCAACAAGAGAAACGTGTTATTAACGCAGAACGTACTTTCGGAGTATTCAGCCCAACAAGCCTCGAATAAAAAAGTTTTTTAGCTCCACGAATATAAGCAACTGAAGAGGGTTGGAATACACGTATGGATGCTTGATTTTTCACCCCCAGGCGAACCTTTTTTACGGCAATCAACATATTTGTTCTTGTTTTCAATTGTTTTGTACATAAAACCAGTGCTCGGTCATAAAATCGAGGATCGGAAATTAAGCCATGCAAGTGCCTCTACCTGCGTATTCTCAACAAGACGAGGCATTATTAAACTATTTTACTGTTTTCAGTTGCACCAGAGAGAGAAAGAGAAAAAGATATGAAAAATTCGGGTAAGAGAAAGTCGTAAAAGCGCTCGTATACAGCAACGAAAGCGATACTTCAGAATGTGCAGTTACTTTACTATCAGTGTAGCATGGATATGCCTAGTCGTATATGTTTTGACGCGCGCTCATTTTTGCGAACGCACGCTGTTTTCTCCATGAGTTCGGACTATATTAAAGCCATTACAATACAGCCTTTTACTGTTCAACCAAAGGAAAAATTACTAGAGCGCGAATAAGATTCGTTATAATTAGCTTCGGCTACATGTTTTCTATTTGTGAATCAACAAGGAGAAGCGATAATTTCTATAAATTGACGTAGCAAGAATTCATTTCCTAAAAAATATGAAATACTATCAGCGGACCAAAAAATGTTTACAATGAAAACTAAACTTTTTTATTGTAAATAATAACTGATTGCCACAAATGTAATGAGTTAATTGAATGCTAATATACATCTTGAACAAATATTTTTCTATTCAGAAATGTAAGGATTTTTCTTCCTATTTACATTGCATTTTTTGAATCCCAAAATTTTGGTTTATCGCTGAGGTAGAGCTTCCTCCGCGGACATTTTTGTAATATCTTTTTTAAAACCAATCAAGACATTTTAGTTGGTATAGATGCTTTTAAAGAAAAAGTATATAATTAAAATGATAAGTGTTTTACGGCCAACCCGAAAAAACTCTTAACCGCTGTTACCCAGGTAATCATTTAACGAACCCATCAAATAGACTCAAACTATTTTTCTTACTTATGAATAGCGTCCCATCCACATAATCAAATTTCAATTTTTTTTGTTGAAAATGATGTTGTCGAGTAAAAAAATTCAATTAATTCAGATGTTTGCCAAAAAAAAGATTTTGAACGGTAAGTCATTGTGATCGTTGAATCGCTTGTTTGTTGCACAAAATAATGAGGTCATTGGAATAATACGAGTTGATCAAGTTTCAACAGTGACACATTATCGTCCAGTTTTTATACTCGAAGGAAGATCAATTCAGATGATAATTGGAGTACGCGAAATAAAAATCTCGGTGACCAATCGTTTGCCCTTATAGCTAGTTTTGCCGTAAACGAAAACCCGTTTCATATAATTTTTTTAGAGGCTCCACAAGGTTTATGTTGTACAATAAGATATCCATTTGGCTTATTTCGATTCCCGCATTGTAACTCGAATTTTAAGCGTATCATTCCAATTTGCTTGTGTGAGTATCAAATGAAAGTATTTTCAAATCTGTGATTTTTTTAGAAATTCCTTTTAAAAATTCATTATTTCATAATTGGGCTTTTAATTCAAAATTGATTACGATTCAATCAGTATTTTATATATAAAGAGGTAAAAAACGAACCGATAAATGCGTAAAATTGATCATCACATATGTTCAATAGCGAATATCCAGGGAAGCAAAAAAATAAAAGAAGGGTGACACGTGAAGGTTGTATTCCTTTCATGGGAACTTGGATAATCATTTCATCCGGCAAAGTGACACTTTTATTTTTCTCCTTCTTTATTTGCTAAATTTACCGGGAAAAGAAAATTATTCGTTTCCAAAGAAGTCTCCATAATCGATAAAACTTCAACCACATTTTCTGGAGTAAAAGTATTGTCTCTTAGTTTATAAAAGTAATGATATTTTCAATTGTGAATAAAAAAATTAATTCAACGCGATAATTCAGAATAAGAAAATGTACTTTTTTTTATAGAAACGTTAACGATTTTTGAGAAAAGAGCTAACATTTTTGGCTTTTTCACACGATTTCGTGTACAGAGCATGCATTCAATACTCATGAATACGTTCATACCGCACAGAGCATCCCATTGTATGCGAGATGGAGTATAAGGCCCGACCATACGCGTAAAACAGGTTGCGACCTATAATTTTATCTGGCCTTTGAATGAAACAGCTATAGTGTGATCATCAGGTATATTCAGGACAGGTAGTAGCAGGAGTGGCTTCAAGGGCACTCGAGGAGAACTTGGGTGAATTTTAAATCTTCAATTAAGAGCAAACGAGTTTATACCCTAAAGTTTTTAATTCCTCATCAAAACGTGCAACTTTGACAATTATAAATATCATGTCCCATGTGTCTTAATTTTTTAGGTACAATGATTGGAGGATTATTTCCATTTGTCCAAATTAAAATGCTGTAGTATTTTTTTACTCGGTGTATGTAAAGTATCGATAAACAATAATCTCACTTACATTTTAGTGGCGTGCTCGAAGCAGGCAAAAACTTTGACCGGCCATAGATCGTTACTTTTTTTCGCCTGAATGCGCTCGATACAAAACTCCTCGGCTGGTATGTTGTGCTCGGCGACGATTATGCTGCCGTCGTTTTGAAGTTCGGAGAAGCGCACCTCACCGATTATCGTGAGATTGCCCTCGCATACGCTTTTCGGAGAACCACTGACCATTTTCATGGCAGCGGCCACTTTGCCGTTGTTCTCGTTGCTATTGAGCAGCAGAATTTGCTCGTCTTCGAGGGTGACTTTGTCACCTGTTTCCACGCAAGAATTCCTGAAACGATCGTCATAAATTAAGCTTTTTTTGCTTAACTTATTGCAAATAATCATGCCATCTATACATAACAAATTTTTATGATAAAATACTGCTGTTGTTTTAGACGTTATTTTATAATTAACTTTTTAATAACAGATGGATGATCGGTCAGCTGTTACGATCTGCTGATTTCGAGAGAACGATTACATTCTTAGACGTTATAGCATGATATTTTGAACGAAAATAACTCGAGATTCCTTAAAAAAATACGTTTCCGGACTTTATGTATCTAGCATAGCGGAGCAAGATATAAAGTTAATTTATGAATCATTTATGGACTGCAGATGCATGGGTGATGCTTACTTCTCGATATTGTAGGCAGCCAGTTCGCCGCAGCACTTCCTGATCTGAGGCATTATAGTCGAGGCGGCCTGAAGACTCTCGTTATTGCGGGGTAGACAAGCGAGCAGGGCCTTGGAGCCCAAACAGAACTGCTCGAGCGAGAGAATCACGTCGCTGCTTGCCTCGATTAGCACATCGCCGCTGACGAACACCACGTACGGATTGAATTGGTTTCGCGGAATGTAGCGCAGGTGCATTTGCGGTTCCGGGCAAATTGGCCTCGCGTTCTCCAAGACTCGCCAATGGGCCGGTGGCTCGGACAAAAAATTGTTTATCTCCGGCGAGTATATGTCGCCGAAGCGAAGGGCCTCGACGTCGCTCATGCTCGTCGGGACGCATCGGTGCGCCTCGCCGGACGATGCCTTGCTCGCGGCCTCGAGGTCCTCGCCGAAACGACAGCATCGTTTGATCTGCAACAGCTGCTCGCTCGTCGCGGAATCGTTGACTTCCGCGGCGCGATTCTCGCCGAAAAACTGCACCAGCAGCACGATTAGCCAGATTCCGGCCATTTTATCTATTCACTACCAATTACGATCACTTAAAAAAAAATGAACATTTGAAAATAACTCTCACATCACTGTCACTATACACATCGCGACTAATTTCTCATTGATTCTTCGATGTAAACAAGCGGCATGTGCAAAGATTTAAAATGAGAAAATAGACGCGCACAAAACTGCAGCTCGTTGCGGCTTAGCCGGTCGGAGCACTACTGATGCAGCTCGGCAAAGACGAGTCTGCAAGCCGACAAGTTGCTGCAGTTGCAGTCTGCACGCACGCGGTCGCTTGCCGCGCGCTTCCTTCTCCGTCCGAATAATTGCGCGCGCAGCATTGCGCTTAGGTACACCTTTCTCCCGCTCTTTCTTTCCTCTTGGAGTTCTTAGCTTGTACTGCTTAAGAGAACTGCAAGAGAGAGTTTCTCACGTAGAATTTTATATTATATACAGGCGAGATCTTCGACTCTAATCTAAAATTAATTGTAGTGGGCTGTAATTTATATAGCAAATCAAATTTCTGTAGTACTTTGAACAATGAGTGCGAGTTGGCAAGAAATTAATAATTTTTACTTCAGCTTGAGGGATAATTTTATTTGTTTACCTACATTGAAATAATTTATCTTGTAAATGTATCTCAACTGAAACTGCTTCTTAAATTTTTTCTGCTATTACTTCATAGCAAGAAGTAAAACGAAGACAAATTCGTTTTATAAATACAATTGAAAAATGAACCCATTCTTAAATACACCGTGATAATAAACAAAGATTCAAGAAAATCCGGTCATTTTTTTGAAATACGGTTACAGCTTCTAAGATGTAAGGCGCATCTCGGTATTGAAATTGCCAAAATGAATGTATGAATCGAACATAGTTCATATGTGAATACGTGGCAAAGCTCTCAGACATAAACATGAATTAAATTATGTACACTGCTGATTTTTTTACATTATACATTAACGTTACATTCATGAGTATTGTAGGCATGTAGTAGTGTATTTTATATATTTGCTCGATAAACGGGTAATATTATTTTTTTTCTTTTAAAACTCTGTTAAAGAATAATGCACAAGTTGAATCGAAATTCAAAAATAAATATTGAATTTAACTAGTAAAATTTTGTTTTGTTCTTTAAAAACCAATCAGAACTTGTAATAAAACGTAAACTTGGTTGACTATGCTTAGAAAAGATTCAATTTTTTTTTTCAGTTTGTGTATAACAATTTTTATCGTGTAAAATAAGATTTATCCAAATGGGCAGAAATAACTGGTTCAAAAAACTAAAGCTTACAGGGCGAATCTGTAAAAATTTCTTTAGTTACTTTTACTACGTCCATGTTCACCTCTGATGATATTTATATTTTAAGTTTTTCACCTTAACACTTTGAAAAAAATTCTCAAAGTCAATGTTTCGCACAAATTGTTCCGTTTTTTTTTTGTTTAGACAATAATAACTTTTAAACGAAGCACGAAATCTTCAATTTGAGCCCAAATTCTGAAAGGACATCGAACTTAGCATAAAATTATGTACGTACGAAGTCTTTTCAAGACCCAAAACATGGAACAAAATTTCGTAATTCTGGACGTTAATGGGATGATTATACATTTAAGGCACTACTATTACATACGCGTGCACTTAGAGGAAAATTTTTGGAATTTAATATGAAACTTTATAAGGAGTATTGATAGTACAAAAGTATTGTTTTACGGCTAGAAATTAATAAATATCACTATCCTGATGATACGAAACTTTTAGCTAACGATGGATTCACTTACCAAATGAGATCAATTTCTTTCTGGCAGGTCAATGACATAATGATTCATAATTTCTCTCACCTTGTACATTACTATAATGGATGTATAACTTTTTCAAAACACTATACTTAAAGTATCTTTTTCTACTGATATTATCCGTCTGTTATTACTATTTACAAGTATTAGCTCGAATGATAGTGCGTTTAGAATTTTATAATCAACCTTCAACATTAGGTATTTAATCGAAAATTCTAATGCAAATGTTAAAGATACCTTTTCATGCCCGAAAGTGACTACTTTCCTGCCGCTGCACAAAGTAGGAAAAGCGATTTTCGGGACACTGAGTACGAAAAATAGCATACAGGCTTATGCCGCGAAAAAGGAACGCCCCAGAGCACGTGTTCATCGACCGCTAATTACACTTACTACGGGACTTCCGTTTTTTGCAGCCTAGGACAATAATATATTAATTATAGTTAGTTTTTTATGCTCAAATAATTATTTGTTTATATTATATTGCAATAAGACAAACTCAATCCTTTTTACCATATCATTTTATTTCCTGTAATTATAGGTGCTCGATAATAAACTTAAGGAAATAGTTTTAACACTGTTTATAAGTTATTTAACATATTTTGAAATAAAAATAGATGTATAACTGCGAAAATAAAAATGATGGTCATAGGAAAGAAAAACAAGACGTCGTTGACTGTACGATTGGAAGGAAGTTATATTCATCAAACTAGCAGCGACTAGTTTGTACGTTTTGAAATATACATTAGCACCTGCGTATATTCATGGCAGGCTTGTGCTTGTGTGAAAGAAAAGAAAAGGCGTATAGAAAAAAATTAAAGGTTCTTGAACTATTGGGTTTGCTCATTTTTGTGGCTGAAAGTTACTTGAAAACATGTTTTGTGTACATTTTTTTCACCGTGCGCTCGTGTAAGAAGTTAAATTCATTCATACTGAATTGATTAGTACATGTATAGTAAAAATGTATACGTGAGCTGAAAGTACTTGTGGTCAAGACAGACAAAAGCTTAACTTTCATTTTTTTGCCGTGTTATGAAGTGTACTGTTTCATTGGACGTAATTTTGCTTAAGCAAATTTTTATATAACTATATTATCCGCTGACAGAAGTGTCTATGTTGAAAAACAAAATATCCAGGTGAAATCGCAGGTATATTAATAAAAAATCATGCAGTATGAGTTTGAACATCGATTAATGAAGAAGTCAATCGAATGCATGCGTGTTGACACTTTTGCACGCTTTCTTCATTCACTAACACTTGTAAATATAGAGTCGCTAATCAGTCGATGGGATCGCCATAAATTCATAAACGAGATGAAAAAACCGATTGATACTCCTAATAAGACTAGATCGTTTGTAAAAATAGCGCAAAACTTGACGATCTATTTTTGCGCACGATTTCAGTGTCAGGCAGCCCATCTCTCGTCGTCTCGCGGCATAGGCACGAGAAGAAGCCTAATCTACGCAGCTATCATCTCTGTGTCATCGTAGCACACGGCATGTGCGCTCAGGAGAAGCACGCGGTCGGATGCGCGCGCACACACCATAGTCCCTACGTCGTGCTAGCGAATGCTCTATGCCGCGTAATATATAATGCCGCACGCGCCAGCAGCTATGCTAGGCAGGCCTTATACGTGCCGCTGCTGCTGTATACATATATACATCATAGCGCTTGTGTGTATATACTGTATCAGATTGGTTTGGGTAAAAGAGAGAGAGGGGCTCTCAGCAGCTTACCGCGTGTGGCAACTTGTCGGTTCATTCATCTGCAGCCCAGCATCAGTCAGTAATGTTTTGACCGTGGACTCGTCGCGACACGGAGTATGAACGTGCCTCCACTCGAAGCGCGAGTCTATTTTTCTTTACGAAAAAAAAACAGTTTGCCTTGGTGATTGTTTATAAAAGTTGATGGGGCATCCTTCGTGTTCGTGAATTATACAGTGTCTAGTGTTGGTGATAACTATTGTGCCCCAGTGATTGATTTGTTTACAATGATAATGAATAAGCGGTTGGTGCTTCTGGCACTGCTGATGCTAGCTTGCGACCTTCGGCTCAGCAGTGCCGACGACGATGACCATAAACAAGTGGATATTCAACGATGCTGTCGAGAGAACGAGGACTTCCAGGATCCAGGCAAATACGCGGACGGCTCGTTGCACTGTGTACCCAGTCGCGAGCCCTTAAAGCTCGACATCTTCTCGCCGGAGACGGCCGACTATTTGCCCGAACCCCCGATCTCCTGGCGATTCCTCGAGAACAGGAGGCCGGTTTGCGCCGATCACGAGCAATTGCAATACTTTGGCTCCACCCCGTACACTCAGTATCCGTTGATGGATTCCGGCATGCTTATCATCGAGGTCGGTAGCGAGACGAGCCTCGATCCCTCGCAATACTGCGTCGGCTCGCAGAAGTTCCTGGCCTGCGTGCCAAGAAGGAACGAGAGCCTCCAGGCAGCTGCCACCATGAAGCCGAAATTAAGGAAGTGCTGCGGTCCCGATGCCACTTACTCAAGGTATATACAAAAGTCATACGTAGCATCTCATGTAGTGGACATATGTTCGAACTGCATGCGATCAAACGACTTTCTTGGTAATGTTATTTTTTTCTGCATCCGGTTTCATCGCTTGTTTTTATATTACATACGTTCTTATAGCTCTTATTGATGAATTTTTCATTGCTATTGCACGGATGTGAGATTGTTATTGAATCTTGCAACTCTTTAACGCTACGCATACTTCTGAAGTTATTCACGCGGAATTTTTATTTTCTTCGGCTCTTAAATATTTGAATGTTGTAATCGTTGATTGGCAATTTAGAAAAAAACAAACGTCTTTGTTTGTCATGGTATTCTCTAGATACTCTCGACATGATTAACTAAATAATATTTAAAATATCCTGGATATAAGCAAACGGTACACGTGCTGCTAACGCGTCTTATAACACGCTTTTCCAGAGCCCAAAAAATCTAATGTAAGAATTAGGTCGGGGAAAAAAATAATCAAAGATTTTTGTATTATTTTTTGATACTCGATCCAGCGCGCAAGATTACAAGCAGTGATATTGTTTTGACAAACCCGGTGAAATGTAATACGACGCGCCCGGCTACCGTATGGGTATTCGCTTCGCATTACGAGGGAAATGGTTTTGCTAAACGATTTAGCTCAGTGAAAAGTCACACTCTTCAATTGATTATTTTCTCGTTTGTACTGGGACACATGTTATAGATATTTACTCGCGTGTGTATGAATCATTTTTGCCAATATGAAATCGAACTTTCGCAACCCTTTTTTTCTATGAAGAAACGGAAAAAATCAATTCTCGATGATACATAGCAGTTTTGTTTGTTTTGCAGATCTTCGTGTGTTCACGTAGCTCACGAAGACGAGGTCTTGATGGTGGCTAACTATATCTTCGCCATGGAAATGTACCCAAAGGTCGACCTGATCAGCGGTTTCCCGACCAACTGCGAAATGGGTTACACGATCGTGGGTGATTATAATGCGACATTCCTTCAGGAGAATGGGGGACTCCAGATGCCAGGAAAAAGTATACCCCCCGAGGAATTTTGCCTCGACGTCATTCAACAGGATTCAGAGATCTCGAACGACCCGTGGAAGCTGGTCAAAATCTTTGGGTGTTTCCAGCCCGATGAAAGAGAGTAAGAATTATCTAATTTTTATAACCTTGATTCATCGTATTGCTTGAAAATTACGTTTAAATAATTGAATTTTTCTTGATTTCTGACGATAAAGCTTAAACATTCAATACGAGATTCATTTGCGTCTAAAGCTTGACTAAATTTGAAACCCCGTCGCGCGTTGCAAAATACCCCCTTGCAAATAAATGTTGTGGCGATCTGCTCGAGTGAAAGCGCACTCTTGAGTCGATGTCAGCTTTTATAGAGTTAGTGACGCGCAGCTTCGAGCACACAAGGGGACTTGTTTGGAGCAGCTCTTCATGGCTCAGCGCTTATTTTCGCAATCGCGAAATATGGCTTTCACCGTGTCTTGGACGGGACTTTCTCTGGCCCAAATTTTGCGCGAGCCTTTTTTCCTGCCTCGTGCAAGTCCGCCTTCTGCCGATTTCTTACCTGATGTAATTCATATATACAATAACACGTGAACGTTTTACGCGCAAGCCACTGGCAGTGTTGCGAAACGAGTTGCGCAACGCAGAAATTTCCGACTAAGTTTCCGAATACATTTGAAACGACCGCGAAACTTATTTTCATTTACAATTAATATGTTATAACGTGTACTGTACATTTGCAGGTCTAAAGTCGTAAAACAAGACATACGATTCAAATTGTATCCAGTTTGCTTAATCATTAGCGCCATATTCTTGGCGGCGACATTGGTCAGCGGCTGGTTTCAATCCAACTCGCATCATCTGCTGCACTGGAGATGTCAGACGTATCATGTCATGTGCCTCATGCTCGGTGATATTACCATGGCAATGATCCAGCTGGGAGGAACGTCGATAAATGACGAATTCTGCCGCGTCTTAGGTGAGTTCGATGCCCGTTATATGTTTCAATATAAGTTTCGTGTCATCATAGTAGATCTTGTCTGGTCTCGACATGTCGGTATAATTAGTCAAGGAGACAATTTCTCCAATCGCGAGTATTACGCGAATTGGATTTTTTTTCCTGCTCATCGTGAAAATACACGATCTCAGTACACCATTGAGGGTATAATTTAATAAAAAGTTCAGTAAACTTCTCGATATAGGAACGGAAACCAAAGCGTAAAAACACAAATTACGTAAATTGATTTGTCAAACAGTTGAGTTGTTAATTTGAATAATTTTGATATAATTCAGATCCTTGAAAATGTTTTGATCTACAAAAAAGAAGGGGCTCATAAAATGGTAAAATATCGACGTTAAAATTAAAAGTCAACGTGCTGAATAAAATTAGCTTTGGAAACTTGTACCTACTAGAAAATCGAATCGATTCTGTGTTACGCAGTAAAGTAGTATAGAGAATTAAAATTTCACTAGTCAAACGAAATACGATGTGTGTTAGAATTTTTCTCTATGCGCCAAGGCAAAAGGAACAAATATATAAACTTAAAATTTAGATATGCTTTCTCCGCTATCGTGATACTGTTATCTAAGCACAGTCGAATGCTCTACGTATTGAAAGGAAATTACCTTCAAATTCAAAAATTATATTGCGACATTGACTTTACTTGCTTATGTTACACCTTTGGTTTTGAATTATGTCATTGTAAAAATATGTAATTGCAAAAAAGATTACATCGATAAAAATAATGATTGTTTTTTAGATTTAGCTCGAGAAAGTATGCATTCAAAATATGTCAATGTTATCATACGCATGAGTATTTACACTTCACGACAAACAGAGTAGATATCGAAAAAGAATAAGATACAGGCTCCATAACTTCCTACATCTGGTGACGTTTTTTCTATTTCATGATTGCTCGTCAAGAAAGCGTAAACTCGCCTGTTTTTCGAATTTCTATTTTTTCTTCTTTTCCCTTTTGATCACTAGGAATGAGTTCTTATCTTGAGCGTTTTTCCAGTTGTTGAAATATGAATACCGGATTCAATGAGGTTTTTCGAAAAAAACTTTTGAGCATTTGCAGTTCACTCACATAGTTTAATGCGCTATGTATGGCACAAATAGATGATATGTATTTTTATATTTAGCTATACATCTGCGGCTTTCATAGTTGATCCCCCTTGAGTGGAGTCAATTACGTCGTCCTGTATAGTAAGAATTCGAAATTCGATTTACAATTTTAAATTTTAGCCTTTCCAAATACAGTCTTCAAATGTCTGATTTTATCACCAGTTTTTCTAATCAATTATTAATCCGTACTAAATGGCTTTACTGAATGAGCCAATATCACGACTAATATCTATAGATACTGATTACTAAAATATAATTTTTTATTATATTTTTGAAACCAACAGTATAGGTATAGGATTTTTGATGCCAACAGAATCGATTTCTATTTTATTGATAATTCGAAAAAATTTTCGTAAAAAAAATTTATCTAAAAATTTTTACATATTTTGTAAAAAAAAAATATTTTCATTATTATAAAAGAGTTCAACTCTGTGGTGGAAAGGCATAACGATTTAAGACAATTTTTTGAAAATCGATGTTATGATGAAAAACACCTATATAATCTTTAAGTTACAAGGGTCAGAATAGACGAGTATAGCTTCTATCATAAGTTTCAGCATCGTTCATCACTACTTAAGTATATTTCCCAAGTACTCACAAGCAACTCAAAACGCGTTTTTTTCGAAAACACAAAAAGTGGATTTAAGAGAATAAAAATAGTAAAAAAACAAAATTTAAATTTGAAAAATGTAACTCACTCATGCAATTAATGAAAGTACTTGAAAAAGTATTATCTAATGTAAATCTCAACTATTTTTATCAACGTATCATTTTTTGTTATTATCAAACAATGATAAGGATGTGCATCACCTATTAGAGGATATCTCCTATCATTCAATCTATCGTATCAAATGTTTTTATCTCGCTTTATTTAACTCCTATTTTTCTACACTTTTCATACACAGAGTACACTGTATATATCTATGTTTGCGCCGAGATGATTGAAATTTTCCTTTGCTTCGATTATTGTCGTGAATTGACTTGAGCAACATGTAATGTATATTCAAAAACTTGAAGAAAAAAAAAAATACTACACGTCGTTTGTTGTTGTCTGGCCATACATTATTGTAATGCACTTATTGTAACTTTTCCTTTCTGCATAAATGTTTTCAATATTATCCACAAATCGTAAGTCAAAAAGTTATCTATAAATTTCATCCCATTACTTATTGAAAAAGATGTTTTGTAGAGTTTTTTGATATTGATTTTCTATGCCCTCCCTACTATGTAATTGCGATCCCGAAAGTTTGTCTCGGCACAGCTGAAGAATATTTTTATCATTAACTTAGTAAACAAGCAAATCAATTAGAGTCTAGATATGGGAGTAGGAATTCCTGCTTTAGTAAAAGATATAATAGCAGGCAGTCGACGTCCCTCTAGAGAATTCCATACTAGACACACAAGTATGCGTTTACAGCTGTGGCACAGCTCTCATTGCCATTTGACACGTAAATTTTGATTGCGCGACGAGTATCTCGTTTCTTAAATCCTATTTCGGTAAATTCATGTACCCACCGCCGCTACCAAATACCAACTTTGCCTTCTCAACGTTGCCATAAAAAGTTCGAGCGCTCGCAGCCATGACCATAAATTCAAGTTCATTTTATATGGCGCTTAAGGGTATCATTACATGATGGACCAGCATTGATTTGAATATTTTTGGATTTGATTACTATTTAGATCGGTAATAAAGTGACAAAAAAGTTATAAGTATCTGTTGTCATAAGAAAAAAAAATTAGCGTTCAATGCTATTATAAATAAGAAATTTGTTAAATAATATACTGATTAGTTTTATAGTAAAAATATATGGAAAAATATCTCTAGTAATTTGATATGTTTGATTCTGTTTCAGCAACCTTGGCTCATTTCTTCTTTTTATCGACATTTTTCTGGCTGAACACGATGTGCTTCAACATTTGGTGGACATTCAGGTTAGTAAGCTTCGCTTATTATCAATATTTTTAATACCTTTGCAACCCGATTATACTTACGCGGCCTCTCGAGCGAAAGAATGAATAGCCTTTTGACTTAGTTCACACCTTTCTTCGTAAAACGTACGCACGTAAGCAATAAAAAAATTTGCCAGACGCAGACACAATGTGATCCAGTATTATACCATTGCAGTTAAGTTACATGACGAGATCAAGATCAGTCGGTCGACTGGTTAATGCAATGCATCGGTCGCGCGATTCCGTAACGGTTTCTTCTTTTTATTTCTCTCGCAGCTTGCGGAATGCACACGTATTGCTCTATAAACATTTTTTATCAACCGTTTGAAATAAAAAATTTACTTTATTAAAAACCTTTTTATTTTTAGTAGCAAGATTTTCTATTTTTTTAAATAAATCACTTTTGCATTTATTTGTTATAAGAAATACGAAATAAAACTTCATAACATCTAGAAGCGCAATTTTTTTATCTGTAATTTCAGACAAGTAAAAAAATTTTCTTGGCTCTTTCTTTCTTTCTTTCTTTTTTTTTTCAAAATTCCTAAAAGTCTTACGAATAGATCATCCGTGAAATTGCAATGTCCGTAACAGCTCAAGCTTACATTGGCAATGTTCCCAGCGCAGATTCTTTTCTTTATTTACATTCTGTTTAGCATAATGTATACAAGTCATCAAAGTAAGCTTAAAAGCTCTCACTGCAAATTGTATAAGCGGAGCAGTAGCTGTCTCGGTATAGTTTTAAAAAACTTGCGATGCTCAAGAATAATTACAAATTGTTCTGTGGAAATTGACTACATCAATTCGTCGCTCCACTGAATTTGTGCGCAGTTCTAGAAATATAGTTGTTAGATTCACTTGTAGTCAATTTCAAATAGTTGATGCGAATGAAGCGTTAAACTTTTTTAACGTCGGCAGAAACATCGATTGCCGCGAAGGAGTGCATCGAGCGCGAGATTTTTTTTTATCTTGTCTAGCAATTATACGAGTGTAATAAAAGTTCATGGACACCGTTGCACTTACTGTACACTAGCGAGCAATTAACGTTGCCGTCGATAAAGCACTAAATTACTAAATATTAAACGCAGATGGCGTTGTAAAAATTAATTGGCAAGTCAAAAATAAGTATCGAAAAATGGATTGAAATTATTCACGCTTTTAATTCATGCATCATTTTTTGCTTGTCTCCGTGATTTATAAACATTATCCTCCGCGAGTCGTTTACCGTAACTTCACGACCGTGAATTAATAATGTCCTTTTTTACACAACTGTGTCTGAGCTGCAACAAGGCAATGAAAAATGCGACGCATTATAAACCTTTGTGAAATATCAGACATTCTACATGAATATGTAATGTGTAAAATACACATGTAATGCTAAACAAGCTGTCTATGAGAGATGAAGCAAGAGCATAGATATAGAGCGAGTGAATGAAGTTAGTCCATTTAGTATAGACGACGCGGAAGAATGACGAGCCACGCGCTTAAACCAGTTTTCTAAAGCCCAAAAGAAACGATTGTACCGTTAGGGGCGATGATTCTCGCGGTGGCGTCTCTCTCGGTCGCGTCTGCTTGCCTCGATATCCGTTGCACGCCTGCATGCGAAAGAGTTTCGTAAAAAAGCCAGGCCGATCTAGCGCATCTTCTTTATTATACAACTGATTAACTCTGCGCAAAACCGACCAAGTAAATAGGAGAAGAAGACGCAGTTGCGTATACTCGCGCTTACGTTACGAGCGTACATTCCACGAGCTATGTGCGCGCAAGAGCATCGAAACTGAGAACAAATGTTAGAAGTCGGAGCTGAGAAATCTATCCGCGTCCTGAAGAATCTACCGTGAGGAACTAATTGAATTATGTATATGAGCTCATCTCTCTCGCTCCCTCGCGCGCCGCTGTGTGCGAGCCCTAGACGCGCGTACGTGAATTATTCATGTGGTATCATATCAACGCTCGCGCGCTGGAATGTTTACTTAGGTTGTTACGTAGGAAATGCGTTTACTCGATTGATTCCATAGAACACAGTGCGCGGCAGCGAGTACCATTCTGCGATATGAGGAATTATTATCAACTCGTTGTAACTATATAATGACTGCTAATTATCAATTTTTCTCGAATGTTATATTGATATCGCCTGGATTGATCTCGGTAAAAACTTAAATTTACGTAAAAGTTAGCGATTGCCCCGACACCGTCTACGACAATGTCACTTGAAATTGCGGCATTATGTAACTACATTGTTCTCTAGGTAAGCGCGAGCAGATGACGTCGCTTTGTCCTTACGCCGTGCCACCGCCGCCGACGACGATGGCAAATTAACGGGGTGCGTTACGCGCATCTATGGCTGTGCGCAGCATCGCGAGCCGAGGGATGTCGTTTAATTACCGCCTCTGAAAGGGATCTCTGTCGGGCCGCTGCTGTGCGAGCGTCAATTGCCACCAGCTGAAAATCGACGTTTCCTCTTGGGGGGCTTTGAACAATATACTCTTTTTTTTCAAACACGTGCTACTTCTCTCTCTCTCTCCCTCTTTTGCTCTCACTCCCTCTTCTTTTCTCTATTTTTTCATCTAAAATTAAAGGCAGTTTGCATACCAACACACGGTGTGCTGTCACTGCTGCTACTTGCTTGTCCAGTCAATGAACTCACAAACATCGACTTTTTTTGTCTTATTTTTTATATTTTTCTATTTAATCCTTATTATGGTATGCGTGAATAAGTAATTCATTTTGCACGATTTTTATATTACCATGCAAACCTGTTACGAACTTGACAAGAGGCAAAAATTTCGAGGGCTCGAATATTTCTTCCGCCTGGAGTCCCCGGCTGCGCTGAGCCAATACTTAATGTACATGAAAATTGGCCAATGAAAGAAAAAAAGAAATGAAAAAATAACAAACATAGCATGAAAGATTCGTCAAAAAACGCCCGAAGTATAGCCGCATTGGAACGTAGATGAGTCAGTAAAACGATATTGTGCAATTATGTAAAAAAAATTGCCGATCCGAAAATATTCAAAAAAATTTCACTACGCTTTATATTTGAATCCGATGTCAAACTTGTATATTTTTACAACGTAATACGTCTTTACCAAAGTTGTCAAAACATTAGTGAGCATAAAGAAAACCACATTTTCTATTCGCATGTCACGAATTATTTATGTATCAATCATTGGATTGAAATTCTATGACTCGACAATGATGATATGTTTCAAACGTGAGCCATCTTATCGATGACCTGAAAGTGCATCCCAATACAGTTGACATGTAATGCAAAAACTAATGATTATCACGCACAATAATCCTTACAAACGTTTGGAGCTTGCTAACTTTGACTGTTCTGCATGTTCATTATTCAATGTGCTTTCGATTCTTTAAATAAGCTCATTTATTAAATTATTCACGTTTAATCGAGTAAAAATTATGTCTCACTTTGTTTCAAAATTTTAGAAAAAAGTATATTGGAAAAATTCAGACGGATTATCTCATTATTCACCACTGCTAGTAATTTTTTTATAATCAAAAATTGTCTTTCGTAAAACTTTTTCCGCAACTTATAATAACTTGCTATACGAGCTATATTTGCTTTTACTTTGAGGTATCAATGCCTTGTTTGATCTTTTTATCATTGAGTAGATGAGGGAGTAAAAGCTTTTTTTCTTACGCCATAAGAGTTTCGATTTCATATCCGAGAGGTATCGATCGTTACTTAGCAAGTAGGGGGTAACTCAAGACTAAAGCATATAGATGTAGCTGTGGGAATTCGAGCCGATTGCAAAGAAAATAATTTCAAGGAATTTCATTTTCTGTACAATAAAAAGTAAATAAATTAGCATGTGGATTGGAATCATTAAAATGTAACGAGGTTTCCTTTAGCCTATTGATGTATTTAGTTTTAATGAAATTTGATTAGAAAATTAGGCTTACTACATTAAATTTTCATACATGATCATCAATTTCATATTCTACATACTTCTAATAACTTGAGTAAAGTTTAGCAAAGATAGAGCAAGTATCGAGAATCTTAATTTTTCCTCAATCAGATACGGGCAGAATTGTGTAAGCACACACTTTAAGGACTAAATTAACTCGTTTTATGAGTATAAAACAATTATAACATACAACTTTGTAAAAGAGTAACAAAATAACAAGAAAACCGCGACGAACGTGATCTTTTTCACGTACGCATTGAAAATGAGTTTATTGAACTTAAAACACATCACGTACACGAAGCGAAAGTTTCGATGGATGGTTAAGCATTCAGGGGTGAAGCTTTTCGGAGGAAAATCGAAATCCACCGAGAGAAACCAATCACGCGCATAAGCCTCAAGTTCCGTCACGTCTAGCCATGATACAGACGTTACAAAAAATGCAATTATACATTCCGAACTTGAACATTTTGAAGACTCTGTACCAGTAGCAATTTTTCTGTCCAAGTCTAAATGAAATTTATTGAAAATCGTTGATGTCACTATTTTCAATCAGTGTTTTTCAAACAGACAACACTTATTTACTGTTTCTAATTAATATTTCTCAATTTTAATTCGTTGATATGCACCACAAAAAAGGCTCTTATATAATTTAAATCGAAATTGTACGAGTAATGCATAGATACCTAATAAACAATAAATTTTCTTTTTTAGAGATTTGAGACCAACGAGTTTCGCTAAACATCAAGAAGTACGTCGTCTCAAGTATTATGTAGTCTATGCTTTTGGCTGTCCATTTTTAATTGTAGCGCTTGGCGCTATGCTGGATCAATTGTCAATCTCGTACGATTACGACTTCCTTCGGCCACGTTTTGGTGATAAGCAGTGCTGGTTTTACGGTAAGTAACATAGAAAAGTGGAAAAATTCTTCGATTCCTAATTATTCACAAAGCGATGTAGCCTCGCGCATCTAAAGCTCTGTCTCTGTAATAATACACCAGCACGCTGTAAAAACATATATCTGTCAAGGATGGCCTCGAGTATTAATACAAAAATAATTGGAAAACTACGTCGGTGGTAGTCTCGTAGTACAGTACAGGCAGAGCAGTAGTCGGTTGTATACTCGCGGTGGCAGCGCGGAATTAAGAGAGCGAAATAGCTTCTGTTGGCTCCGTGCCAAAAGCAGCTTCGAAGTAAATGTACCGATAGTTCTGGCGTTGGAATGGAGCGTTACGAGTCCGCGAGCTGACACTGCTGCAACGGTGGCGGTACGTTAATATTTGTGGAAGACGACCATTAGGTATTTCGTATACAGAGACGCGCACATTTATTATACACCACTCGCCAAGACTTCGGTTATGGTTTTACATAAATTGTTTGCCGCATTCGTGTGAACTTGCTAATAGAAGCTCATTATTACGGATACAGATCGTTCCGTGGCTAATTGGCTTGTTCTTCATTAAAAGTCAGTATCTTCAGTCAGTTTTTTCAGTAAAACAATTAACTAGGTCTGAAACATCGAAAAGATATCTTCATACGATGACGTATCAAATTTTTGTATTATGACCTTTGAAAGAAAACTGTTTCACCCCGCGCCGATACGAATCTATAAAACTATCAAGCAGAAATTTACTATTACTACCGAGGTGCTTTAAAAGAAAGAAAACATTGTACAAGAGTTCAAAGTTTCTTCGCGACATGCACATGAACACTTGCTAACGTTCAATATTGAAATGTTCTTTCTCACTTTATTAATTCAACGAATATGGGGTGCGGAGCTTTTATCGTTTGCGCGACATCTTATACCTCGTTGGCTCATTTGATCTTTATTATGGCCTCTAAAAATGGTAATTTTACTGGTAGAAGCTCGCCCTGCCGATATACTGCGGATAAAAAAACGCTGACTTCAATGTCTGATTCGGGTCTATTATTGTCACCATTGGCAGAGCACCACTAGGTTAATGTTTTTTCGCGTTCAAAACGACTTTTATGTAATCGCTGCTGCAAAAAGAATTTCTGCCATGAGCATAGAGGTATTTCCAGGGTGGTTTCGTTCGACGACGATCTTTTTCCTTTACGACTGAATTTCTGATAAGATACTAGGTATCTTCTGTACTTCTGTTGTGTGTATAAACATGCACTTTTAAATGTTAGCATACTCGAAAATGCTATTGATAATGTATCTTTTACTTATGATTATCACGTTACTTTCGATAGGTAATTTTTATAATGATTATATTTTTTTACAGGAAACATGGAGATCCTTGCTTACTTCTTTGGTCCAATTGGTTTGTTGCTGATGATTAATGTTTTATTTTTCCTTTCGACTGCTCATGAATTGACTTGTGGTCTGTGGAAAGGAGATATTATCAAAAGTACATCTGAACGGTACGTTTTTAATCTTTCTTCATATGCTTATTTTATATTTTGTACATATTTCTAATTAAACCATGTATTTTGCATAGCAGAGCCAAATTGGGCAAAGTTTGCTTGAAGCTAGTCATCCTCATGGGCGTTCCATGGATATTCGACGTGATTTCGTGGATGGCGGGAGGACCCAACTATTTTTGGTACGTGACGGACCTATGTAACGCAGCCCAGGGCGTGCTGATTTTCAGCGTCGTGGGCTGCCGTCCACAGCTTTGGGCGGCGTTCAAGCGGCTCTTTGTGAAAAAACCTCAAACCCACTTCAGTAGCAAAGTTAACGCTGTGAGCATGACGAGCCATGGGAATCCCAGCGCTGTCGACGATAGCATGACGCGCGGTGCGAGCACCAAACTCGAAGGAATCGAGACTATTTGTTGAGGGAACAAAGAATCATTATCGAGTCCTAGATAGCCAATTTTTTCTAGATCTAAAACGTTTCTGGAATAGTTTGTTGTTGTTTATTACTAGAATAATGTTAAGAGTTATTTCAAAATAGCATAATCCAATGTAATTTTACTGAGTTCACTGGTTTGAGTAAGTATTTAATATGCTGCTTTTGTTTGTTAAGATGACTGAAAAGCAACACTTCTTGTCAATGTTTGATGAAAACTGTAAAGTATTTTAGAGAAATGATAGGACCTAATGTTACCATTTTATTATTATCTATAACGTAATAGCTGTAGATTTTGCACTGATAAATATTAAACGTGTACTTATTGCTGTGATATATATTATAATTTTTACATGTAGGAAAATTATAGATTTTAACGTTTTTACGGATGAGTCAATGTATTTGGATGATTTAGTAAATACACGATTTCAAGTATTTTTCAATAAAATGCATTGTTTAATCAACTGAATAAATAACTAAGATAATTTAATTCCTTAATAAAAGCTAAAATTTGTAGTTATCCCAATTTGTAAGTATGGAGTATAGAGAACGTACGTAATTAACTCACATATATAAGTATTAATTTACGTACAACTAATTAAGAAAAACAGTTACAATATCTTAGTAACCATAAAAATAAAACTCAACTTACTCTTACATTTTCAGACAGAAATGAAGCTACATGATTAAAGCAAAATATAACCATTTTGCATCATTTTACTTTTTGTTTAATTATCTGTAACTTGAATGTTATAACTTCATTTACTCAAGTATTTATCTCACATCAGAAGTTTTTACTTTTTCTAATTTGCTTGATCAATATTTCATAAGCTTATGCAGTCAAACTTAATTTATTTTAGTAAGTTGAAAAGAAAAAAACTTAACTTGTATTATATTTTACTTGAATTGCATCACTTGATAATAAAACAAATTATTTTTAAGATTTCTTCATAAAAGTATGAATAGCCTGATATACTCTAAAAATGTGTAAACGTGAAAATCATAACTGAATTCATAACATATCAAAATTTCAAAATATGGAAGACACATTATTAATATATAACACAAAAAAGTGCATTTCAAAGTGTGAGAGAAACGTTTATTCTTCACAGTTAAGATCAGTAGCATAAAATAATTATTATTAAATAATGGTAGTGCTTAAGACGCAAAACTTTTTGCTGTATTAAGAATTTTTGATTTTGTAAATTCTATAAGAGTATTTGCATGAAAAAAAAATCATTGAAATAATTACGTTATAGTAAAATATACGTATCAAGGAATGTGGGAGTAAAAAAATAAACAATTTTGAACAGTCAGGTAATTTTTAATACGAGAATAAAAATCAAAAAAATTCGAAAATTATTTTGAACTCCACAAACGATTTTGATTGGTCCGCATAACTGTGACATCATACTTATAACCTAAGTCGGCTGCTGTATGTAATTTGTATACCTATATACATATATGCGTCTACTGATAAGTATGACGTCGCGGTCCGCTCGCACAGCTTCGGGCGCTTTCGGCGCGTTTTCGGCCGTTTGAAGAGTTGTAATTTTTGAAACGATAAATTTTTAAGTAAAAACGCAATGAAAAATTAAAAAAAAAATATTTATTGATAATTCATAAATGTTGATTTCAAAAATATCATTACTTTTTTTTATGCAAATACCCTATTAATATAGTAAATTAAAAATTACATTAAAAAAAATATAAACAAATGTAAGTACAATTAACTTGCTAGCTGGTGAGTGACACACGCTCCTCGATGAAGAAATGGTAGCAAATAGTACTTTATGGCACGCTAACCTAAAAATCGCAACTTCGCCGCTACTTTTAGGCTTTTGTACCATAAAATATTGTATGCAACTGATACGGATATGCTTTTCCAACGAAACTCGTTACAGCCCTCGCCTTCGGCTCGTGCTGCAACCCCTCGTTTCGCTGAAAAAGTATATCCGTACCCGTTGCATAAAGTACTATTACGATAGAAGTGACATAAGTAACACTTTTTGGCACGGCGTAGTTTGGGGCCTGAGCGCAGCGAGGGTCGTAATAGCTGGACCGAAACGTGTCCCCATGGCATGAGTATCGTACGATATGCAGATAACACCATGATTCTCTGCAAAACAAAGAATATAGATCAGGGTATAAAAATTCTGGAAAAAAATCTTAAGGTGATGGTAACTTTTTTTTTATCACAGCGTGCGGGAAGTGCGATTTCCCGCACGCTCAGCCGTGCAGGAAGTACGTAATTCCCGAGCAGTACTGTAAAAAATAGAACAATTCTTTAATAACCTTAAACTTGAACTTTTCCCAGAAAAGACAAAATTTATTATTTTTTCAAAAGAAAATTACCCACGCATAGAAAAAAAACCTCTAACAATGATCAAATATTTGGGAATGACCATGGATCATAAACTAACATGGACACCACACATAAATAACATAATAGGAAAAGCATCTAAAATTACAAATGTCTTAAAAGCACTAAGAACCACTTGGTGGGGTGGAAACCCCCATTTGTTTTTAACTATCTACTAGTCTCTTGTAAGGAATATCATCGAATATAACAGCTTCATTACAAATAGCCACAAACACTCACTGGCTGAAAAGCTGCAAAAAATCCAAAACCACAGCATAATACTAGCTGCTGGTTACAGTTTCCACAGCATTAACCGTCATCCATGCAGAAACAAACATACTACATCTAAAGACCTGGAATAGATAATTAGTTCTCAAATTCCGATTAAAAGCGTCCTCTATCTGCAATAACACTCTGATAAGAGACATCAAAGAACTAAAAAATGATATAACTCGATCAGACAAATACCAAATAAAAAATAATTACCTATTAATGGAAACCCTAAACCAACTACAACGAATACAATACACAGCACTAACACCCAAACCATCAGTAGACACTTCAACAGGAAAAATAATAAAAAAAACAAACAACCCTCAAGAAACATTTGAACACTTCCCTAAAAATAAATTTGAAAATTACGTTGGTATTTACACTGATGGGTCAAAAAAGGAAGGTGCAGAGAACGTGGGTCTGGCAATGCTATGCCCACAATTAAACTTTCACCAACAATTCAAAATCAACAACAAAGCTTCCATATTCGCAGCAGAATCTCTAGCAATTCTCATGGCTATAGGGTACATTCTATCTAATAATATTAAAAAAGCCATCATATGCACAGACTGTCAAAGCGCTCTGACAGACATTAACAACTACTCCCCAGTAAAAAAAACTGACACATCTTACATTATCCTGGATGTTACATCACTACTCTTTTTAGCAAAGAACAAGGGTATAAACATCAGGCTAATGTAGATTCCAGCTCATGTCAACATGACACACAATGAAGCAGTAGACCCATTGGCAGAGGTAGCAACTGATACAGAAACACAACTGATACTTGACTTGCACCACTCAGACTTGAATGAAGCAATTTTAAAAAAAGTCAACCAAGAAAATAAACAAAAACTATTTAACGAAGCCACATTTGAAGGTACTCAGTTCTCCACAAATTACTTTACAGACACTAAAAATAAGCCATGGTTCGCCAAGTCAAGGTACGAAGGATACCACATCACGCACGATCAACAGACTAAGAGCCGACCACCACTCACTAGCAGAAAGCCTGCATAGGAAAAATATAATAGACTGATAGAACTGTCAATGCAGGTTTGAAATCCAAGACATTGATCACATCCTTTTTCAGTGCCTTCTATACTCAACTAAAAAAAGAAGTTTTAAAGCCCAGCTAAAAAACTATACGATAGAAAATTCTATCACAAAAATCAATACATCTACACCAATTCTTAAAGCCCAAAACAGGGGAGATGACGATATCCGTGGCACCGCCAGATTATGATGAATTCCGACAAAGGGCGCTAAAACTTGATGATATATGATCATAAAATATTTTTAAACTTCACCTAATTGCATTTAGCACCCTTTATGTGTTTTGGACTCACCCTCAAATTCACACCTTCTGAAGGATACCATAAATGTTTCCATTTGATGTGAGAATGGAAGGAGTTAGGTATGTAAGGTAAGACGAGGAGGGTGTGCAGAGACGCAATCCCCCCACTGCCCAAAAAATGCCATCATAGAAAATAAAAAAGTACATATTTAAAAATGAATAAAATTCAAAATACAATTTCAATTGTGAAATCGAAAAAATTGAAAATAGTTTTCAAGAAAATATCAATATAATTTTCATATAAAAGTAAAATTTACAGTGGCTGACCATTCGTTCAAGGAACAATCTGTTTATAGGACGGCCTACCATTCAATCAAGGCACGATCCGTTTATAGAAAGGCCTTATCTCACACCATTACGCAACTCATGTCATACTTACCACTCACCCAATACTCACAATCGCACGCTATTATGCACTGACACAATCCGTTTATAGGATGGTCTACCATTCACGCAAAGCACGAATCGTTTATAGGACGGCCATCACATACCTGCATGCTTTTTTCTCGACGTCGAGGGTGCTTTCGACAACGTGAATATTGATATACTCATGGACAGTCTCTCGAGACTCGGTTGCTCATCGTGTCCGTTCAAATTCATTAAATTCATCACTCATGAGAGAATCATTCACACCACTAACAACGACACAACACGACGATCGTAAAGGGGTTCCTCAAGCCTCCGTGCTAAGTCTGCTCCTCTACTCCATCTACGAAGCTTCCATCATCGAGGACCTGCCAGCTCACGTCTACATCTCCCAATTTGCGGACGACCTGGCAGTGTACACCATCTCCGGAGACTCCGTCTGCAGCATCTCCACCCTTGAGAACTCACTACAAATCATCGATCGCAATTTGAACAAGCTCGGCCTCAACATCGCCCCTCATAAAACCAAATTTATACACATCAACAACAAAAAAACCAAACCAGGGAGTAAAGCGATCAGGGTTCGCGACTCCACAATAAAATCCGGAAATAATTATAAATTCCTCGGAATAATTTTCGACTACGAGCTCTCTTTCAAAGCTCACGTCAACCACATTCATACCAGATGCTCATCAGCAATGAACATGATTAGATTTCTGCGAGGCACGTGGTGGGGCTCTCACCCAGAGACGCTGACTACCATGTACAAGTGCTACATCCGCTCGATTCTCGATTACGCCTGCTACGTTTACTACCCCAGCATCTCCACGCTCCAATTAAAACTAGAAAGAATTCAGTACGCAGCTATAAGACTCTGCCTTGGATACAGGCAAAGCACTCCCACCAATATTCTTCTCGCGGAATCAAAACTACCATCGCTGCGCGAGCGCGCTCACTTCTTGGGGAAGTCGTCAGCGGCCCGAAAGTAGCACTTCCCGGCCGCTGCGCTAAACGGGATATTGCTATTTTCGGGCCCGGGGTATGTAAAATCGTATACTGGCCTATACCGGGAAAAAAAGAAAGCCTCAGTGCACGTGCTAATTGACCTCGG